GACATTACTTTCTCATTTGACTCATTTGGATTCTCTATATTTTATTCACAGACTCACCAAACGATACTTCAGGGACCCAGCTCTAATGGTCTCTACTCCATCTCATCTTCCACTATCACACCTCAAGCTTTGACTGAGCCCATCTCCAAAGCCCACTACTCTGAGTTATGGCATCAACAACTAGGTTATTCTCATTTGGACATACTCACCGCAATTTCTAAGCGTCAATCTCTACATATCCTATCTACTCCTATTTTTTTTAGTATTTGCAATATTACTAAAAGCCATAAATAGCCCTTTGTATCTTTTATAAGACAAAACTACATAATATTAGAGCTTATACATAGTGATGCAGGGGGTCCCTCCCCAATTTCTTCTTATCAAGGTCACATTTATTATGTTACATTTGTGGATGATTTCTCTCATTTTTGTTGGGTTTTTATCATGCATTCCAAATTTGAAACAACAATGATTACTCAACATTTCATTACTTTATTAAAAACTCAATTCATTGCAAATATCAAAATTCTTTGGTCTGACGACGGTGCAAAATATACCCTAAATAACTTTCTCTTTGCACAAGGCATTCTTCACTAATACTCTTGTCCGCACACTCCCGAGCAAAATGGGATGGTAGAACGAAAACATGGACACCTCATGGAGACCACTTGTGCTTTCCTACATCAAGCTCATGCCGCATACAAATTTTAGACCGAGACACTTTTAACGACACTTCATCTCATAAATAAAATGCCTACTTGAACCACTAATTATTTTTCCCCATACAAACATATCCATAAATCTTTACCCACATACACCCACACTCAAGTTTTTGGATGTGTGTGTTACCCATGGAGAAAACCTAAAACAAACAATAAATTCTAACCAAGATAAGTCTAATGCATCTTTCTCGGCTACTCTCTACAACATAAGGGCTACAAATGCTTCAACCCTTCCTCTAATAAAATCTTCATTTACAGTAATATGGTCTTTGATGAAATACCATTCCTTTTCTTCATGACTCAACTCCAAAACAGCAAAATAAATCCTCCACTTCAACTCAAATCCCACCTTATTTCATACAGCCTTTCACACTCTTACCACCTGCTCCCAAATCTTCTCCTACATTTCCTCTCTCGCCGGCACTCCCATCCAAGGATCAATCCAGTTTACCTATAACCAGCTAAAAAGAAATACTTGAATCATTGCAAAATTCATTATTTGTTTTTCCAATAGCGAAGGCTTGACCATGTCCTAAATTAGAAACAAATTGACATGAAAATAAATCTAGAATTAATCTACAATATTGCATGGTTTGGTCAAGCCTTATTTGGAAAGAGTGAAACCTTCATATGAGCACATATGAAGGGGTGGTCTACCCAAGTACTTTTGGAAGGAGGTTGATGCTCGAGTTGATGAAGTTGGCTGGCCATGCATTTTTTAATATTGGATGGAGGTCATATTGATTAATCTTGATTGTTGCACAATTGCCTAAGGAATTAAAATTCAACCCTCCATTTAATCCACAAACTTTATCTATATTTGAGATCATATTTTTGTTCTTGATCAGAACTAAAGGAAGGTTTACATACATGCCACTCAACTCCTATGAATTTACATATCTAACACCCAAAATTCAATTTTTGCATACATACTACCATACTTATGCATGAAAATGTGTATTTCACTTTCTAAAGTTAACATTGTAGTATTTTTGATGTGATATGAAATATTTTGGTGTTTTTCTGACTGACCGAACTCTTGTCCATCAAGGTATTGTCCTCTTTGGTCAAGTGGCTTATTGGTTTTGTCCCGCCGGTGTAATTTCTCAGGTGGTCACCCATTTTAAGGGTGCTCCCATATAAGCATGCTTAACTTTAGAGTTTCTGATGAAATTTCACTGTTACACTAAAAGGTGCTTCAATGTTTAAGTGTTCTGCTTTAATCTACTTGAAGGGTTTCACAATCTTCTATGCTTAAGTAATTAACGCCCTCGTCAGTACTTTATACTCAGAATCATCCTTTAGGCATAGAGGATTCTAGAGGTGTCCTCTACATATTCAAGAGGTAGCTCCCACCATGTAACATTTTGTCTCATCTTGGGTTCAAAAGGTGGCTCCCTTTGCATAGCACCATGTAGCATGCTTAACTTTAGAGTTTCCTATCTTCCGTATGGTGTAATACTTTGATACTATTTGATACAACTTGAACTCACACCCTTCAAGATATTATTCTCATTGGCTTAATATGTCACAACCCAACTCGGTGCAACTCTCCATGTTGAGGCGGAGGTCGCCTTGTGTCGAGGTCATAACAGATAAATTATTACTTAAAATATATTTGGAAGGAACTTTATTTACTTATTTTTTTCTTAATTTTCATAAACGCAGAGCCACTAATATCATCAAATATATAAAAAATAAATAATCAAAATTCATTCAGATCATATCAATATATAATAGAATAAAACATATATAACAATCATGATTTAATCTCCCTATCTTAAAAAAAAACATCACCATGACCGTAAAAAAATATAAATCTTAGATACTGACATACCTAAAATTAGACTCTCATTAGTAACACAAAATTCTCTACTCAACCTGAGCCTTAACCCTTTTTTGAAACAACAAATGCGAGTAAAGAATGGGTGAATAACCACAGCTCGGTAGGCTACCCAAAATTTACTGCAGTTTTAAATATAAAAAAATAGACATGTATTCAAAGAAAATATAAATCTTAGGAATATATGTATAGTCTCTATCACAATGTCATTACAAGAAATTGTAACTACAGTACGCATGTGTTGAGTAACAGTATAAGCAATATGATATCACAAGTGCAAGAAAATAACATGAAAATAAAAATTTATTTCCTTATTTGAATTATTTTAATATTTTCTTTCGCCCACTATACCACCACTTTATATTTCTCTTATGTTCCTTGTAACTCTGTTTTCACTTATACATCCACTTGTTCACATTTGTTAAAGGCATATTAAATGTACATATGGATAATAAAATAATACAAAACTCTTTATAACTCCATTTGATTACAAATAATACACAACCGCCCAACTACAACCACCTGCAACTTGCTCATTTGTATCATTTTTTGCCAATATTCATGATCTAAAAGCTTATATATGCTAATAATTTTGGCATATCAAATTTCACAATGTGCTATACAAAGTGATACATAACAGTAGACACAAGTAATAATGTAATTTGTAGGAGAAATAAATCTTCATATATTGACAAATAACACATGCAAAACTATTTATATGAAATGTCAAGAATAATATTTCAAACATTTCTTATTTTATATCAAATTTCTCAGCTTTAACACGCAAGAAAATATTATATAACACAAAATACCCAACGAAAAATAAATATTTTTATGTCGATATGTCCAACATAGTCTAATCTAGAACATATAAAAAGTTATGTGGTAAAAAAATTGTAAATATCTGAAGATTTAAATTTATACAAAATTTTGACAAATAGAGTATCAAAACTTCATAAAAAAATGAAATTAAAATCTAAAGTTAACAGTAACCTACATAGAGTCGGACAATTTCTCAACTGGCCCGTGGATGAAATCGACTCTACAACCTCCAAAATGGATTTTTTCTTTAGAATTATTTTTTTTCTCTCCTTCTATTTCCATGTTTCTCTGTTTAAGGGAAATGGGAAAAACACATGGGATTCCTGCAATGGCTTAAGATATTTATATAAATTATTTGATTTCCTTTTTTTTAGAAAAGAGGATATAATTGTCATTTTTTTGTTATATTTTTTTTCTAAAAATTTTATATAAATCTATTTACATCTTGAAATATATGACTCCAAAACTTATGGAAAAATATTTCATAAACAGAAAACTACAGAAAACTATGTCTAGAATACGCTGGTGAAAACAGTTTACAAAACAGACACCAGATGGTTCTAGAAAGACCACTTGTATAAGGATGCACAACATCCCTAAGAAAGAAAAATCTGACAATAACCTTTTATTTCTTACTTATGATACTCATAAAAATAGGTAAAAATAAGCTAAAAATATAATCAAGTGTACTCTACAATTTGGTGAAGACATTTTATAAATAGGGCATGAAACAAAATTTCTAAAAATCGACGAATAACCTAAGAATCAATTTAATTCCAAAACCATGAAAAAATCAATAAACATAAAATAAATATGCAAGATTTACTAGATCCCAAAATTAAGTCTCAACAGGTGCGCTTCTATACTACAGTAGCAGTCGTTACACAATTATCTCATGGTTTTGTATCATTGGTGTAACTTCTCAGGAGGTCACCCATTATGATGTTGTTCACTTTGGTCTAATGGCTTCACGGTTTTGCGTTATTGGTGTAACTTTCTAGGAGGTCACCATCCTAGAAGTGCTCTCATGCGAGCGCGCTTTAACTTTGGAGTTTCTATCGAAATTTCACCAATTTAAGAGTTCGACTTCAATCAACCTAAGGGGTTTCACAATCTCCCGCACTTAAGTACCCGACGCCCTTGTCAGTGTTCTATACCCATAATCATTAACCATGTCAGATAGAATTCTAGAGGTGGCCGCTATAGATTCAAGAGGTGGCTCCCACCATGTAATACTTTGTCCCATCTAGGATTCATGAGGTAGCTCCCATCACGTAACACTTTATTTTGTGTCATTTAGTTCCTATCTTCCTTTTGGTGTTAGTATAAAAGTAAAAAAGTGAAGTTTAAGTATTAAATAGTAAATACATAGGAATTGGGTGGCATGTATATAAATACCCCTTATCTTTTTTTAGCGTCTTCTCCACTATGACTTTCTTAACCATAAAAGGCCTGAAATTATCATTCTGAATCATTTTGATAATTTTCTTTTCTTTTTTTCTTTTTTTTTTCTTTTTACCCCTTTATATGTTTGCAAATGGAGTTCTTTTAGAGTATTATGATGACAAACTACCACATAATTTAACTTGGAATGTTGTTTTTCTATTGTACAGGCACAAAGAGCAAGAGGAAAATTGATTCGGGAAGTTGAAGAGAACTTCAGAGTGGATGCATTTATAGGAAACGCAACTGACTGGGAAAAAGTTTGCTTGGGGAATCTTGTGGGTTTGCCAGTTGTGGTTGTTCCGACCGGTTTCAAAAGCATTGAGAAAGCCCCAAAAGGTGGCACTAACAGAAGAACAACTGTAACGACAGGCATTTACGCCCCTCCAGACAAAGATCATATTGTAAGTTTCAAGTTTTTCCTAGCCTTTTATGTGCCAAAAAGGCATACTTTGTGCTTCCTTTTTGATTTTTTTCCCTTTTGCTTTTGGAAGATTTACACAGATATACCACTCAATTCTTATGTATTTACATATCTAACCCCTATACTTTAATTTTTACATACATACCACCTTACTTATGCATGAATAAGTGTGTTTCATTTTATAAAAATTAAACGGAAATATTTTTTATGTGATATGAATGATTTAGGTGTTATAAATGTAAAAAACAAAGCTTAGGCGTTAGATATGTAGATACATAGGAATTGGGTGGTACGTATGTAAATGATTTCAATATAAATATGTGGTGACTTATAGAAGCAGTCAAATTTCTTTAGCAAAAAATCAGAATTGCCGGGTGATCCATAACTGGCAGTAACTAAGGGGAATATTTCAATAAAGTTGAGTCTTAGAAGATATTAGATTAGATTGTAGACAAGTGTAATGCATGTATAATCAATCAAAATTTTTAATGCATTTATCTCAAAGTAAATTCAATAATTTTACTATCATTTTAATTTGATTAAGGTCAGGATATTCTTACCCAAATTACTTCTATAACTAAGGTTGCAAGCAATCCTGTTCCCCCTCAACCGTCAGCAACGGAGTCGGACCACGGAATTGAGGTGTTGTTTGGTTGGAAGATTTACAGTGTTCTGTAATTATTTTATAAAGATTTTAGGAAATTATGTGTTTGGTACGAAGAATTACAAGTAAAATGTAAATTATGAATGAATTTGAAGTTCATCGATCAGTTCATTTTAACTAAATTTAGAATTTAGCCTATTTGGTCGAATTTGAGTTACGCCATAAAATGTGATAGGCAAGTTGCCGACTCCCGCCCCCATACACCACTCACCACCACCGCCACTGCGCCCGACACTGCCGCCACCACCATTGTCTCCCGCCACCACCAGTCGCCCCCCACAAGTAGCCCACCGTCACCGCCGCTTGTCATCACCCGCCTCCTGCTATCCGCCACCGTCTGCCTCTATCAACACCCGGCTTCCTCCACCTCCTGCGCCATTGCCTTCATCAAATGTCGCCCACCAGCCATGTGTTAGTGTCATTGGAGGCTATTCTACGCTACCGCCAGATAAAATAATATATTTTGAAATACATTATTTTCAATCTCCTTCAAATCAGACAAAAATATATGAAGTTCTACGTTTATTTTATCATGAATGAAACAACTTTAAAGTATTTCAAATATATTGTCATCGGAGCACTCTGCATACCTTCCACATTATATTTCATTTTCAAGAAACCAAACAAATTTTGAACGTTCTGTAACCCTAGCCCTCATATCCCAAAAGAAAAGCTAGAATTGTAATACTTTTTATAAAGTCCAATAATATATTTAATGCAAATGTGTCTATATGTAAACAAAAGAACAGAGTAATAAAAGATACAATGAAAATGATTATCTAATAACGATGATACATTATGGAAATAATGATAAAAAAATTCATGTTCCAAGATGTGTGTGTGCTAATATTTATGTAACAATGGATAGATCTATTAACCTAGTGAAAATCTGGTTCGCTCAACATAGAGTTTAAAATAACATCTCACTGGTTTGTTCTATGCAATTCCAGTCCAAGCCCAACATATTGGAGAAGCATTGAGCTCTCCTGATCTAACTTTGTTTTGTGAATATCATAAATGATTTTAAATAATACATTTTATCATAAATTTAAGGCATTTGCTTATTGTATCTAATATATATATATATATATATATCATAAATGATTTTAAATAATAATATACAAATGCCTTAAATTGGTTATAGCTCGCTTTTTCTTTTGATAATTATATAAATATTATTCAACTTTTGTTTGGTTCAGGCTTTAGCCCTCGCAATGGCATATCAGTCTGCCACTAATCATCACCTGCAGCGCCCACCCATTGATGATGTTGGGCCAAATGATCCGTTTAAAGTTCCAGGTATTTCTTCTTCTGTGCTTATATATATATATATGTATATATATATATGTAT